GTATCGAGGTCCTAAACCGTTTAGGGCTTTATATGTAAGCATTAACACTTTGAAGTCAATGCGGAAACGGATGGGCAGCCAGTGCAGCATGGCCAGAGTAGGAGAGATATGTTGGTATTTTCTCACTCCAGTAAGGAGTCTGGCTGCCGCATTCTGCACCACTTGAAGTTTCCGCATATCTTCCATTTTTGGGCCCAGAGTAACCTAGCTGCTGAAAATATATACATTAGACAATATTTTATTCTCTTAAAAATAATTTCCGGCATAATATTCAATAATAACATTTCAATTTTAAAATTTAATTTTTGTTGAGTAATATCTTTTGCCATTTCTCACACCTGTATCCAGAATCTTTTGACTTTTTCACATGTCCACCACATATGATAATAGGTTTCTGGATTTTTTTTTTTACATTTCCAACAAACATTGCTGTTACCCTTTCATATTTTTGCCAATCTTACAGAGGTATAATGCCATCTGTAAAACATTTTGAGGATATTTTCCCTAAGATTCACTGATTTAATTATTTTATGACACTCTTTTCACATCTTTGTCCATTTATCAATATCAATATTATATCCAAAATTACTTGGCCCTCTTACCATCATCTCCTTCACCCTCTCATCCTCCAAGTCATACTCCAATAAGTATGTGTACATTTTAAAAATTATTTTCTCATTAGTGTATATCCACAATTCATCCACTTGAACTTTCGCCTCAAAAAACCCCCACAATTTTATCTTTTTTAAATCTTGATTCTAATTTCAACATTGACCACCAGTTTGTAGCCAGCCCTAGTTCCTCTAGCTCTTGTTTATCTTTTATATTTTGTTCTTTAGTTGGTAATTCTTCATATGTCCGTAATGCCGCCTTCTGATTCAACACTTTCAACGTAAAGGCCTTTATAGGAGCTACCCATATTAGAATTTTCTTATAAGTTTGTGTTTGGAATTTTTGCCACACTAAAGATAAGGGCTTCTTCAGAATATGTTCTACACAATGTGATTGTTCTTTGTGTTTCCCATACCATACATATGCATGCCAAACCATTTTTAGGTCATGTCAATGTCTAGCGAAAAAACTGTCATGCGGGGTAACTGTCTAGCAAGACACCACTGTATTCATAAGGGATTTGGTTTAGATTATACCTGACTAGCCCAGTGGTTTTTCCTACTTTCTTCAGTTTAAGCTTGAGTTTTGCTATAAGAAGTTGATGATCAGAGCCACAATCAGCTCCAGGTCTTGTTTTTGCTGTCTGTATAGAGCTTCTCCATCTTTGGCTGCAGAGAATATAATCAATCTATTTCGGTATTGCCCATCTGGTGATGTCCATGTGTAGAGTCCCCTCTTTTGTTGGAAAAGTGTGTTTGTGATGACCAGCTCGTTCTCTTGACAAAACTCTATTAGCCTTTGCCCTGCTTCATTTTGAACTCCAAGGCCAAACTTACCTGTTGTTCCTTTTATCTCTTGACTCCCTACTTTAGAATTCTAATCCCCTAGAATGAGAAGAACATCTTTCTTTGGTGTCAGTTCTAGAAGGTGTTGTAAGTCTTCATACAATTGGTCAGTTTCAGCCTCTTCAGCATCGGTGGTTGGTGTATAAACTTGGATTACTGTGATTTTGAAAGGTCTGCCTTGGATTCGTATTGAAACCATTCTGTCATTTTTGAGATTGTATCCCAGTACAGCTTTTCCCACTCTTTTGTTGACTATGAGGGCTACTCCATTTCTTCTACGGGGTTCTTGCCCACAATAGTAGATACGATAATTGTCTGAATCAAATTCGCCCAGTCCCGTCCATTTTAGTTCACTGACACCCAGGATGTCAATGTTTATTCTTGCCATCTCCTGTTTGACCACATCCAGCTTTCCAAGGTTCATTGATCTTACATTCCAATTTCCTTTGCAATATTTTTCTTTGCAGCATCGGCCTTTCCTTTCACTTCCATGCACGTCCACAGCTGAGTGTCCTTTCAGGTTTGGCCCGTCCACTTCATTAGCTCTGGAGCTACTTGTACTTGTCCTCCGCTGTTCCTCAGTAGCATGTTGGATGCCTTCCGACCTGAGCGGCTCATCTTCCAGTGTCATATCTTTTAGCCTTGCGTTTCTGTCCATGGAGTTTTCTTGGCAAAGATACTGGATTGGCTTGCCAATTCCTGCTCCAGGTGAATTGCGTTTAGTCAGAACTCTCCACTATGACCTGTCCGTCTTGGGTGTCCCTGCACGGCATAGCCCATAGCTTCTCTGAATTACTCAAGCCCCTTTGCCATGACAAGGCAGCAATCTGCGAAGGGGATTCATACCATGGGTCTATCTAGACCACTGTTGTCAATTCTGATGGGCAGCAGAGGTTGTCTGATATATAAGGCAAAATTATTTCCTAGCTTTACCTGGATATCCCAGTGCTGTATCTAAGTGTCAGGTGAGACACTGTTTAACTTCCCGAATAAAACAAGCAGGGTCCTCTCTGTGTTGGCTCCTAAGTTGTGGAATTCTTTCTGGTCTCTTGTAGGTTATGTTTGCAACATTCCTCTCTTCCTTCTAAGGAAGAGTAAAGATGTTTTTTACATTGTGACTTTATCTGATTTATTTCACTTGTCAGGTATGGTTTTCTTTGTCCTCTCTTCCCCTCCCCCAACACTGATTTTTAGCTATGTATTAAATGCTGTCTTAAATAATGCCATTTTCAGTCATTTTCTTATTATTACCATTATGGCTGAAGCACATTATGGGAACATTTTAATTCAATAAATAAATAAACAAACAAACACAGATGCTATATGTGAGACTGTTTCCCCAGGCATGAAACATTACAACCTGTTGCTAAATGTGAGACTATTTCCCCAGGCATGAAACATTACAACCTGTTATAAGTTCCCTGTGGAGGGGATGGTAAGCTATGGTTATGACACCAAATCTGGGAACGAAAGCTATGTGTATAGAACAACGTTTATGCAAAATATTAAATCCCCTTTTCTGCAGATCAGAGCCCCACTTCTAATCATTCCATCCTTTCCTGGTCCTCACCCTCTCACTTCTGAAGTGCTGTTGCTGTTACCACTGCTGCTGCCGCTCCTGCTACCCAGGAGCAGGTTTCCATGGTGACAACACCCCCCCATCCATTCCTGCATCCTCCTCCTTTTGGCTTATGTGACATGCCCATTGTCCAATCAACAACCCTGTCTGAGTGGGAGGGCTTTAATCTCCATCAATTTCTCTGCTACCCAGAGAGCAAGGACCAGAGGAGGGGGGCACCCAATCTCCTTCCTCCCCATTTCTCTCTTCCCTCTTTTTTTCCCTTCTCCTTTCCTTCACTTAGATTTTTTTTAAAAGGTTCTCTTCTTCACCTCGTTCCCCCTCCCTTCCCCTCCTTATACATCTGCTTCCTTCGGTTCCCTCCCCATCCCCATGTGAGATCACCTATTGTTGCAGTCTAGGTCTTTCCCCCCACCAATCCTTGTCTCCTGTTTGCTTCAGCCCCCTTTGATATCCTTCGCCTGCTCCATTTATTTATTTATTTAATTTTCTATCTCCTCCCTTTCCTTCGGCCGGCCGTGAGAAGAGATGTCTGGGGCTGAGATCCAGGTACCAGCAACATCAACATCCCGTCTGGCTGGCGCACGTCGTGTCAAGGATGCAAGCAACACAATCTGCTGGGTACCATTGTTCCTGGCATCTTTTGCTCCATCTCGTCGTTTCTGACGGCTGAAGCCCACCCACCCCCCTTTCCCCCTTCTCTCCTTTGCTTTGCTTTGCTGGATAGCTGATTTCTTTGACACCTTTTCTCTTCCTTCTCCCCCCACCCCACAACCCACCACCCGGCTGCACCTGCGTCTTGAGACCTCTCCCCGCCTCCTTCTCCTCCTTCCTGATCCATGATTCTAGACTCCCCCTAAGATGCTAAGACAAGGCCCCTTCCTTCTCCTGGCTGCGTCCATGTCGTATTTCAACCCTGAGAAAGCTTTGGCAGCGCCTTCGGGAAATGGTGAGTCTTGGCAGGTCGCAAGAGGGCTCCCATTTGTCTGTGGTAGCGACCAGCCCTTCCTCGTCGTTGCCTCCCTCTCCACCATTTGCGACCACCTGTTATGTGTGAGGGGGTTACCTGCCCAAACCTGTCAGTCTCCCCTTTTGTGCTCAAAAAGGGTAAGATGACAGATATGGGGGATTTTCCCTAGACAAGGCTGTCTGAGTTATACATTCCATTCTCTAGGGGAAGCCGGAATTCCTGTGCAGAACAAATTAATCATTGCAGATTTTCCTAGTTAGGTATGCTGGTAGTGGTGTTTACTGGCATTTGATGGCTTCCTCATCTCCATGACCCTCCCTTGGTGACGGTGACTGTGTAAATTGAGGAAACATAAGGGGGCCTCTGAGGCAATTTTATTGGGAGGGGACAGTGTTTTTATACACTATTTTATACATATCTGATATGATTATTGCACATTGACTGAGATCTGGGATTCATATTTCCTTGTGTAGAGAACAAGAGGTAGGTTGATTATGTGAGATGGGTGTGAGGTTTGTGATTGGGGAGACCTGTGGCATCCAGGAAATGGAGCATGTGAAGGTGTGAATGGTCTGATAGCCCATTGTATAGACTGTTGTGGCTCTATCTGACTGAACCTATGGCATAAGATTCTACCGAGGACGGTGTAGGGTTCATTGTGGGTGTATGTTCAGTGCTGGTGTGGAGTTGGAAGAGTCAGCACTTGTGAGGTGGACAAGATGATGGAGGGCTTCATGTTGGGAGTTAAAGAAGATGGGCATCTGAAGGGGTGGTTATGATGATGGGCTGAAAGGGATAGGAAGCCATTTGTGGAAGGAGGCATGGATGACTAGTTGTAGATGTAGATGGAAAAGTGGAGATATATGTTGGTGGGACATCTGAGGTAAATTACATGGGCCAGGTGATTGGATACAGTGTTAAAAACAGCTCTGAAAGACACAGCTTGAACCATCAACTTCACCATTAATTTCCTGTTCTTTATTTATTTTTATTTATTTAAAATATTTTTACTCCACTTTTCTCCATAAAAGCTGGCTGGATAGCTCAGTGGTTTAGGTATTTGGCTGTGGAGCCAGATGTTGGCCCGACTCCCCAGTGTGCCTCCTGCAAGTATTGCCAACCTGTGTGGCGTTGGGCAAGCTGCACAGTCCCAAGGCACCCCCCGGAAGAAGGGAAGGGAAACCATTTCTGAGGATTCTCTACCTGGGAAACCCTGACAACGGTCACCATAACTCAGAACTGACTTCATGCCACATGATGATGATTATTATTACTATTTTGCATAAAAGGACCCAAGGCAGCTTACATCATTAAGAGATAAATATAAACAACAAATTATTCAAATATTTGAAAAGAATCAAATGTACATTATATTAAAAATGTTAAATAAAAGCATTATTAAAATAGCTTAAAACAACAAAATACTAATCATGTCAATTTTAAAATCTTGCTTTGAAGCTGTGGAGCCAGATGTTGGCCCGACTCCCCAGTGTGCCTCCTGCAAGTATTGCCAACCTGTGTGGCGTTGGGCAAGCTGCACAGTCCCAAGGCACCCCCCGGAAGAAGGGAAGGGAAACCATTTCTGAGGATTCTCTACCTGGGAAACCCTGACAACGGTCACCATAACTCAGAACTGACTTCACGCCACATGATGATGATGATGATTATTATTTTGCATAAAAGGACCCAAGGCAGCTTACATCATTAAAAGAGATAAATATAAACCAATAAATTATTCAAATATTTGAAAAGAATCAAATGTACATTATATTAAAAATGTTAAATAAAAGCATTATTAAAATAGCTTAAAACAACAAAATACTAATCATGTCAATTTTAAAATCTTGCTTAGAAAGCCAGTCACTAAGGGAAAGCCTGCCAGAAAAGAAAGATCCTCACCTTCTTATGGAACGACGGCAAAGATGAAGCCACCTTGGCTTCCTGTGGTGGGGAATTCCAGAGTCTGGGAGCAGCAACAGAGAAGGCCCTCTCCTGTGTCCCCACCAAATACATCTGTGAGGGTGATGGGACTGACAGCCGGTTGAGCTGCTTTAACAGGGTGGGTTATATGATCCCTGAAACCAGCACCAGTGAACAATTTGACAGCAGCGTTTTGGGCCTTCTTAAGTTTCTGAACACTTTCCAAAGCCAGCCCCATGTAGAATGTGTTACATTAATCCAGCCAAGATGGAACTGAGGCATGCTTAGCATTGTTACCTTCCTCAGACTCAACTGCTCATCTGTAAAATGGAGGTGGGGGTAGACTTCCTGTTATAGATCAAATATGTGTTATGTATGCAAAGTTCAGACTGGGGAAGATTGCTTGTGAGTTTTATTCGAAATATTTGGCAGGCTGTTCTGCGAAAAGGGCAAATTAACGTTTCCCCTGAAGCAGCGGAACAGTTATTTTCTGTGCAAAACAGATACAGTAAAATATAAATTCCCCACAGCTAGTTCTGAAGTGTTGTTGAATTAGAACAGGCAGGGGCAAAGTGTAACTCTCTAAATATTGTTGGGTTGCAATTCTTGTCAGTTGTAGTCCAACAACACTCAAACTTTGCCCATCCCTGGATTAGACAGACAGTCAGACAGATTGCAGTGTTTGTTCTATCCCTTTCTGGATAGGCAGGTTCAACTTTATTTAGGGTAAAGTAGCTAATGAGACTTGTTTCATTGCTGGTAATTTCAGGATGTTGTTATCTCAACAGTTCTTGCATATGGAAAGTTTCTTCTTCTTAATTTATAATCAAAGCTATATTTTCCCTTACTTGCAAAATCAGTTTGCTCTCCATCATGCACAATCATGCACTAGTTTCCATCTCCCTTACTATACATGCTATGATGTCATGATGCAATCTAAAATATATATGTGTTACTCTCTGATGCCATTGGTTTGCCTGCTCTGATGTCACTGAGAGGGTAGGCAGTCTGGAGCTGATTTCTGAGGTAGACTTGGCAAACAAGCATCTCTCTGGCCCTGATACCTTTTTCTGCCAAAAAGAACAGATTTCATAGGGAACTAGGGAATTTTGTAGTGGACTCTTTGGGGGGCTGGTTTTATCAAGGGCTACTTGGCTAGCAAAAAGAGGCTAAGGCTACCTTTGAAGGGGGTAGGTTTTGTGACTGCTTATGGTAGGACGTGTGGTATCTCCTTATGCCTCATTCCCAAGGTACCACAGACTATTTGTCAGGCCTTTCTTATATATTCTTGTGAGGGGGTTGCTACGGGTACCCTTGATGGGCTCTCTGCCCTCACCCTGCACCCACTGATGGGCTCACCATGCTGGGCCTCAGGTGGGCACAGAAGCAGATCAACCTACCTAAGGCAGGGAGAAGGTGGTAGCAGACAGATCCCACCTTTGTGAGATGACAGGGTGGGTCTGAGATGGACAAGATTGACATAGAGGGGGCAGTTGGAGGGGAGAAGGAAGAGCAGGACATCAAAGAGGACGATGGGGTTGAAGATGCCAGGATTACCAGGCACAAGGAGGAAGGGACCTGGGGTGCTACCGCTAAAGAACTTGACCTGGTCCTCTGTGCAGAAGGAGTGGTGGATTACACCTACCTTAAGCATCCTTGGACCAACATCCTTGTCCAGATCCACCTGTCCCATGGATGAGGTTGCAAGAGAGGTGTGTTTGACCCAAAATCTCCTCAGTCTACAACATGTCCTGCTGCCCACTGAAGACCTCAGTGACCAGTTGGACAGCTGGCCCCCCACCCCAACCCATCGGAGGCAGTGTTGTTGCAAAAGAAAGGAGTGGTGGCAGCCCCTCCAGAAGAAAGCCAGGGACCTCCGGCCTCTGATGGGAATTTGGCAGTACAAGCCATCTTTGAGAGGCACTGGCTGGCTAAGGCCAGTGTGGAAGCCACACCAGCAAGGAACTTGTGATCTACTAGCCCCGATGAGGGAAACTAGGGGTTCAGAAGGGAGGGAACCACCAGGTGAATTAGTGCTGGAAATTCAGCCCCCCGACAGACATACAGATAGGAAGGGGGTTGTTGCTTCCCCTTTTTTCCTGTATTCCACTCCCAGCCTAATTATAGTCAAACTCTGGCTGTACAATTCTACAAGTCTGGAGTTCATGGCCACCATGTCTGAGGAAGTTTTGCTCACTACCCTGGCCCTGGGGTATGTGTGGCACTTACAATTATGTAGTAAGGCTGAGCCTGAAAAACATACTCTTTTTTGGATTATAGCTCCAAAATTATAAAACAATGTTTTGGGACCCAGGCTGGGGATCGGCTGCTTCTTCAACCCCATTGAAGACCTATGGAAAACCTGAAAGCTTGCTTATATTGTAGAATTAGTCACTCCTAAGCAAGATATTAGCATACTGTGGCTTTTTGATGCTTTCACCTCCAATGTAGCATCACAACTGCCCACCATTTGAAGCAATTGCCCCTTCATCTTTTGTCTCTTGTCTTTCCTCCAGATGGTTTCTCCCAGGGCCGGACTCCCCTTGCTCCTCCCTATGCTGTAGTCCTGATCTCCTGCTCTGGCTTACTGGCCTTTATCTTCCTCCTTCTCACCTGCCTGTGTTGCAAGCGAGGCGATGTCGGGTTCAAGGTAAGGTATACTGTGGAGATAAGAGATGGGCATGACACCACCATTTTCTTTTTATCCTTTACTGCAGGAGTGGGTAACTCCAGAAGGTCTTTTGGGGACCACATGTGTTCCTCTGGGGGTACACTTTGTCCACACCTGTTTTACTCATCCCAAAAGTAAACATCCCAGTTTGCACTGTGTTAATTAAGTCAAGCTACAGTTATTGGAATGTCAAGTTATGACTTCCAGATCACTATATTTCATGCAAAACTCCAAAGATGACTTTAAAAAAATATGGTGCATAAATGATTGCAAACATAGGATGGTTTGTTTGTGTCATTTGAAACAATCACCAGTTTTACTGTGCTCACTGTGTGTTTTGCTCTTCTGTGTCTGAGCACAGCTTTTTTTGGCATGAAACACGAAGATACTCCATTTGAGATGATTTCCTCAGATATCCCTCATAATGTAAAAGCATGTAAAGCGATTTCAGAGTTCCTTTAACATTTAGGCCTTCTCTGTATCAACATCCTTATACCCACCTCTGCTTACCTGACAGGAATTTGAAAACCCCGATGGAGAAGAATATTCTGGAGAGTACACGCCACCCGCAGAAGAGACGTCCTCTTCTCAGTCTATCCCAGATGTCTACATCTTGCCACTCTCTGAGGTGTCACTCCCAACCTCCAACCAACAGATTCCCAAAACAGGTAAGGATCCATGGAGGTGAGGATAGGGGGATTTGGTTGGCTTCTTCTTCATTCTTAATGACATCTACATCAGTTTTGATCCACTGAGACAACAGATGTTTCACGTACAGGTGGGCAAGCTCTAGGCATCAGTGGGTCAGTTTTCTTGCCATGAAGACCCACATCAGCCTTAAAAAGCAAAGGGAGAGTGAAAACTGGTAGTGGTGTCATTCCATTTCTATAACATCTGTTGTTCTGATGGGTGGGAAACAAGGGGGAAAGGGTGCCTCTTTTTTTAAATGCAAAATCATCACTCCAGGAACAGAAAAAAGACTTTTTAAAATGAAGAGATATAGATATATTTTAGTAGAGCAAGGCATGAGGAGCAAGTATAACAGAAAAGGCCTTGGGTGACTGCGTGAGCTGTGTTAGAATGACATGCCCTGTTCATCATGACTCTCACTGGGTATGTAGTAGTGTCAAGCCATAACGAGGTGAAAAACCAGCTTTGGGTGTCAGGACAGAAACCACGCCACCATCCTGTGCCGGGTGGATCCCTATATTCCTCACTCTGTGAGGGGGGGGTTGGATGTTATTAACAATGATAACCACAACTCTAATATTACTGGTGTGATCATATCATATTCATAGGCTCCGTAGTCACAGCACTGACTGGAGTTTTCAAGGTTTTGCTCCTTTTTGCCTTCCACAAGAAAAGGGAAATAAAACTGCACATAGGAGAGTGCCTATGGCTGGCAGCTGGACGTGGGAAGCTTTGGTTACCCTGTGTTTTCCTGTGTTGAAGAAAACAAAGGACAAGCAAAGGTCCTTGCTGTTGTTTGCAATCTGAGATTTGAGACATTATGGATCATGCTTATAGGTTTCCCATCTGACAGGTACCCTGTCACGTCCATGCAGATAGAGCCTCAGGGCTTGGAAGAGAGTTGGATTGGACCAAATGATGCATGCCAACTGGGACCTTCCTTCCTGTGTTCTCAACCTTTCCACCTTATTTCACAACATAGTTTGGTCCTGTAGCTTTGAAGCATGAGCAAGGTTGGGGTTTAATGCTAAACTGTTTTGTCATGTCCTTGATTTCCCTTATCAAACCATCGTGCTCCTCTTTCAGATCTGGTGAAGCACCTGGGACTCAGCAGGCAGCACCTCAGTTACCTGCAGGAGATTGGAAATGGCTGGTTTGGAAAGGTGAGACTTTTTTCAGATCCCATTGGATGTGATCTAAGAACAGGATTTGGGGGGAGTAGGATGTAATCTTCTGGAAAGGAAGGAAGGAAAAGAAAGGAAAACTGATTTTATCTCAGAACTACTGTATTGATATTGCACAGACAATGTGGTGAATTTTATTGCTGTGATATTTCAATAAAATGTCCCTTGTGGTTTGTAACAGCAGTGTAAGTAGATATACACATGCATGCATGTATAGAAAAAGTGAAATGATAAAGATCAAAGAGAGAAATAATTTCAACAGCTGCTGTTAAAAGCAGGCTGCAAAATTAAATGAAATGGTTCAAATGAAATCTGCAATGAGGTTTGAAAATAAAAGCACTTGGCAAACAAAAATGGTATCGAAACGACATTGGAGTTAGCAGCTAGCAATCTTGTGTGACAAAGGCATTCAGTAGACAAAGTGACATGGCTGAGAAGGCCCTTTCTCCTTTCTCCATCTAATTTAAATTTTTTGCAGGGAAGGATGTAAAGAGAAAGAGAGACTTCTGACCACAACGTTTGGGTATCCTTGTCAGGTAGAAAGAGTTAGCAAAGGGGAAAAAAAGCTTTTCAAAAATTCTTGACTTTTGTAGGGCACTGTACTGATACAGGTGTAACCTACCTCATGTCCCAAAGAAGAAAAAACTGTATTTCTGAATTGGGTTACATTTTGGTAAGCAGACACTTTTTTCTTGGTCACCTCCCTGTTATGCATAGTGCTCTTTCAGGTAACCAGGAATCTAGCCATTTGTAGGTACAGTAATTGCAGTTGACTGGATTTTTTGACTGCCTGTGTAAACTCTTCAAGAACTGGTAAACTATGATCCAGATAAATAGCGTGGTAACCTGGCAGTAGGTTTACATGGTTTTTTCCCTTCCCCCCTTTCTCTTTCACAGGTAATTCTGGGAGAAATATTCTCAGATTTCACCCCAGCACAGGTGGTAGTGAAGGAGTTGCGGGTGAGTGCTGGGCCACTTGAGCAGAGGAAATTCCTGGCAGAAGCCCAGCCCTATCGGTAAGTGTATGATAAGCTGGAACAACCAAACAGATGGGCTGAGGGATATAAATAGTTGCCCATATCTCAGAAGTAGTTGCAGCTCTCAGTAAAAAATGGGATCCAGAACAACAGACCGCTTTCATCTTTTAAACCAGAACTTGGAAAGTTAATTTTTAAAAGTAATTTGCTGCAGTTATAAGGTCCCCCAAAGTAGCCATTTGCCATTATAGTTAGGGCTTTTTAAATGTTAAGTGATCAGAAGTGTCTTTTTTATGCCACACTTTTTCTAACTGCCCTTTAATATTCTCCCTTTTAACAATGACTGGCTGAAATCCTGTTGCTTCGTGTAGTAAATCACACTAGAGCAGGCATAACAATTAATTGCATTTATGGAGGAGAAGACTTATCAAATCCCCATAGATTCAATGGGCCTTACTACCTACTCTGCTCAACAACAGGATTTCAGGCAATTACGAGTAACTTATAACTAATGGCTGTTGTTCAAAGATTGTTCTTCCTGACGTTTCGGCAGTCTCTGTGGCTGGCATCTTCAGAGGACTGGAGTAGGAACTCTGTCCATGCTCTGTTGCTGTTTGTTGGCATTCGAGAATGCCTTCGAGAATACATTCAACTTCTAACTAGTTACTTCCAAATTCTATGTTGTATTATAGCCTTTGAATAAACACACAGATTTCATTGCATGACCAATATTGGTCAAATTAACGTCTGTTTGAAAGCAGTGCTCCCTCAAGCCATTAAATATCTATCATAGTACATGTTTTTCCTCACCTCCATATCTTTCCTAGACCTATGCTTTGTTTTGTGAATTGTGAGTAATCACTGGAAGATAAACATGATCTTACTTTGCAAGTGTGATTGACAAGGTATGCATCAAATCTCATTTCTGGAGGGTGAATGTGTTATTAACAAGGGACACACATTTCCTCTTATGTTTAGTTTGACTCTGAGATTACGCTCTCTCTTTTTGGTAAAAACTCAGATTTTTTTTGTCTGATCATCCAGCAATATCTAAGACCGGGGCAGGAAAAGTTTTGGAAAGAGTCTCCCAGCCAAGGAAGCTCCATTAGTGATTCTCTTACCCTACTCTACCCAATTCCATGTTCACCTCCCTTCTTCTGAGTTTGTGCATTTCCCTTTTACATCTGTTGGAATATTAATTCAACCAAGCCTTTTAAAAAAATTCACAGCAAACAAATAGGGGCATGTGGCTCTTAGTGACATGTTAATGGGAGACTGGGTAATGGCCAAAGGCAAACGGATTTAAGGAAGTCTTTGACAGTGCGAAGGCTAAGAGAGGGTTGATACACACTTTGCTAGTTGAAAACTTAAATGCTCTTTTTTTTTAAAAAAAGAGATGCATTCTACTAAACCTTCCTTCTCCCTTTTTTCTCCTGTTCCTCTCTCCTGCCATCCCTTACTCTCAAGAAGCCTCCAGCATCCAAACATATTGCAATGTCTCGGCTTGTGTACAGAGACAATCCCCTTCTTGCTCATCATGGAATTCTGCCAGCTGGTAAGTAAAGAGAAGTCCAAGTGAATGGGGTGGGAAGAGAGAAAGTTATCTCTGCAGTACTCGGGTTTCACATTTCTGTATGGCAGAAAGCTCTCTGTTACACATCCCCCTTCTTTCCTCTTTAACTGGGGTGTCCTCTTGTACATCTTTCCCAAAAGGCAAAGTGTGGCACAAAAAAAAAAAGAGTGTAAAAATTGCAAAAGCTAATTTATAGCCATGGACACAGATTTAGAAATAATGACTGTCATTTAAATGGAAATACAGTGAATCTTGCTACAGTTATTATTGTTACTGTACTATTTCAGCTTATTGCTTTAATTGTTCTCAGTTGTGGTACAAAACACAGTGAATCACTATTTTTAAAAAACATTAATTAGAAATAATAATGATATTTGCCTCACCCCTGAAATAAGTGGGAAGGTGTCCTGCTGGTCACAAACCACTTTCACTATACTGTATTTGTGTGTTATGTAGCTCCAAGTTGTAACTAACTTATGGAAACCCTAACAGAGCTTTCAAAGTAAGTGAGATATTTAAGGAATGGGTTGTGTGGTTTAATTTTAAGTATTTGAAATGCAGATGGGTTGCGTGGTTTAATTTTAAGTATTTGAAATGCAGAGGTGTACTTATTCAGAGGCCAGCGCTTCCTGCTCACCTTTTGATTGAGTTTGTGATGTCGTTCCACAGCCAGATCTGGTGATACGGCAACTGCCTTTTGATTGAGTTTGTGATGCCGTTCCACAGCCAGATCTGGTGATACGGCATTTTATGAAGCCAATTTCGGGTAAAGACAAAAAGCATGGTTGGAGTAAGGACAAAAAGCAAATACCTCTATGTATTCTTTCTTTTTACACATAAATGTTATAGTGCCAGGCTCTGGACAATTTTCTTGAATTTGTTTTAACTTGGCTAAAAAGCTCAGTGGTTTAGGTATCTGTGGAGCTAAACTTGGCTAAATAGCTTAATGGTTTAGGTATCTGTGAAGCCAAAGTTTGGGAGTTCAGTTCCCTCCTGTGCCTTGGTTGGGAGTTCAGTTCACCTCTTGTGCCTCCTTGATAGTGGCTGGACTTGATGATCCCTTCCAGTTGTAAGCTCTGCGGTTGTAAGATGATTGTTATAGCTGGCTAGCTCAGTGGTTTTGAGAGGTTGAGAGTTCAATTCCCCACTGAGCCTCCTATGAATAGAACCAGCTTATGTGGCTGTGGGCAAGCTGCACAGTCCCAGGACATCCCCTGAAGAAGGAAATGGTAAACAGCTTCTGAGTATTCTCTACCTAGAAATGGATTGCCATAAATCAGGCTTGACGTGATGGCACATGATGATTATTTTAACTTCTCCCATGTGTCCTTCCAGGGTGATCTGAAACGCTACCTTCGATGAATAGAACCAGCTTATGTAGCTGTGGGCAAGCTGTGCAGTCCCAGGACATCCCCTGAAGAAGGAAATGGTAAACAGCTTCTGAGTATTCTCTACCTAGAAATGGATTGCCATAAATCAGGCTTGACGTGATGGCACATGATGATTATTTTAACTTCTCCCATGTGTCCTTCCAGGGTGATCTGAAACGCTACCTTCGAGCTCAGCGCAAAGCAGATGGGATGACTCCTGATCTGCTGACTCGTGACCTCAGCACACTACAGCGCATGGCCTATGAGATCACTCTGGGGGTATTACACCTGCATAAAAACAATTACATCCACAGGTAGGTATGGGGGCAACCAGGAATCTTTTGTTCTCCAGGAAGGAAATGTGTAACAGTGCATTAAGAATCGCTTAGGAGGGACAAAATCTAGAATCCCAGGTATTTGTCCAAGGAAAGGAGATGATGACATCTTAAAATGTGCTGTGCTATAAAAAAAATGGGACTCTGGTGATCTCTCAGATTCAAATCAGATTTATCTGATTGCACTAAAGTTGGATAAAGTGTGAACAAGTTATGAACGTATATGTTAAGGTTTGCTGGGGTCATGCTTTGTGTACACAAACTTTGGAAATCAGAAATGCAATAGATAGCTATGAAGAACTGGGGCTTTTATGTTGCACTAAGAATTCATGCACTAATAAGTGACGTGGTCGCACTGTGGATTAAATTGCGTAAGCCTCTGTGCTACAAGGTCAGAAGACCAGCAATCCTAAGATCGAATCCACACGGCAGAGTGAGCTCCTGTCACTTGTCCCAGCTCCTGCCAACCTAGCAGTTTGAAAACATGTAAAAATGTGAGTAGATAAATAGGTACCACCTCAGTGGGAAGGTAACGGCATTCCGTGTCTAGTCGCGCTGGCCACATGACCACGGAAATTGTCTACAGACAAACGATGGCTCTACAGCTTGGAGATGGGGATGAGCACCGTGCCCTAGAGTTGGACACAACTGGACTAAATGTCAAAGGGAACCTTTACCTAAGAATTCAGAGTGCTTAATGATCACATACTGTAGGTGCCCATTACAAACATTCTTGTTTCTATTTTTCTCTTTCTCTATGCTGTTAGCAGCACCTGATTAATTAATTGTTTTCTGTGTCTATTTTGGTTTCTTGACTGGTGGTTAAACATTTATTTTATTGTATTAGATGATTTTTCACATTGTTGGGAACATTTCCATCCCACTTTCCCTCCAAATGAGGCGAAAGTGACCTATATGTTTTTTCGCTTTATCCTCACAGTCACCCTGTGAGGTAACCTGACAGAAGGTGACTGGCCCAAGACCACTCAGTGAGCTTCATGACTGAGTGGGGATTTGAAACCAGGTCTTCTGAGTCCCAGCCCAACACTCTAACCACTACACCAAAGTGACTCTCAGTGAAATAGAAAGGTGGATTATACAGAAGTCGCAAGGAAATAAATGTGGACCAACAGGGACATTGCATCATGAAGTAGAGTGCTGGTAGCTCCAAAAAAAGGGAGGATTTACAGAAAGAAAGCTCTTCGTGTTAGGAGTTAAAAGTAATTGTGCAGCTCTGCCATCCTTTCCTCTTTATGAACTTTCTCTGATAAGAAGAGAAACAGAAGTGGTGGAAAAACACAGAAGAACTGTGAGTGAAGGGGGAAGTGGAAGGAAGCCTTCATGAAATCCAAAGAATAAGGCAGGGAGGTTGCATGGTAAAAAAGGATCTAGTGTCTACTTGCCATATTTCCTGAATTATTTTTATGGACCATCCATGCAAACTAGTTATATTCCCTGTGGAAAGTTCTACTTAGAATCATAAAATGGGAAAGAGAGTGCAAGTCTGTACAGATGTAGGTGATTTTAATGCTATTATTCCAATACTTCGAGTGTTTTTAGACTGCTAATTTAATTCTAGATAAATTAATGAAAACCTTAATTTATGCCTCTTGCTTGTAAAGCAGTGGTCCCCAACCTTGGGCCTCCAGATGTTCTTGGACTACAGTTCCCACAAGCCCTCACCACCACCTCTGCTGGCCAGGATTTCTGGGAGTTGAGGTCCAAGAACATCTGGAGGCCCAAGGTTGGGGACCACTGTTGTAAAGGATGAAACAAGCCAGGATCCCAACACTGGACAGTATGCTAAACAAATCACAAACTAAACTTTAGCTAGTCATGAGATTAGTAGAAGTAGATGGAGCACACAGCTTGTTCCCAGTAACCTAAAGTTCTCCACAGTCCTGGCTTACTATTCCATGTGGGCATGACCACCATTTTTCAGTGTAAGCTATCTCCCAGGGTTGTGAGGATTTTTTTTTTTAAAAAGGGGGGATTGTTATGTACATTCTTGACCCTTTTAAAGGGATGAGAGGGTGAAACAAACAAAAGCCTTTGATATGTGCAACAAAAAGCAACCGGTTTCCCAGTTTTCCATACTATTTTTATTGGGATATTTATAATAAGGAAAACTGGTCAAGAAGTGGACTGTTTGCTTTTTCCTTTCTGGAACCTTCTGATGTTAATTGAGGACTGGTTATCCCTCCACAGTGATCTGGCCCTTCGGAACTGCTTGCTAACCTCTGACCTCACAGTGAGAGTTGGAGACTACGGACTGTCCCACAACAATTATAAGGTATTGTGGAGAACGTTTCTTTTACGAATTTGTAAGGAGGTGTATTGCAGATTTAGGAAAGCATTTTATTCAATCCTGGCCAGTAGAGACTGCCATATACAGCAATGCGTATAAGGACAGTCTACGGAACCAAAAATAGTTCGTAGCTATATAAGAAACACACAGAGTGCCATAAAATGGAAAATCTGAGCTGGTAGCTTCCTTTGAACTGTCTTTCCGAGGAAGTTCCATTGATATTCTCAAGAAGTTCCTTTGGATCTTCCTTCAGGAAAGACGCTAATTACCTCATTGTCTGTAACATACCTTTGCTAAAAAGAAGAACATACGCTTACGCCTATCTATACATGCTGGTCTTCTCACAATCCCTTGGGGACATTACACTGGCTATCTTTATATTATTAGCAAATCCTAATATATACGGTGGTATTTCAAAGTTGCATTAAGGGAGATCTCCACAGTATGGCATTGGGTAGTCCTTGTGGTGATTCTTGGAGGAACGCCATGGAGTGGGATTTTGTGTGCTTACACTGTATATAAAATCCCATTTTCTGCCAAGATGTTACACCTTTTTGTTCCCAGTAACCTAAGGTTCTCCACAGTCCTGGCTTACTTACTATTCCATGTGGGCATGACCACCATTTTTCAGTGTAAGCTATCTCCCAGGGTTCTGAGGATTTTTTTTTAAAAAAGGAGGATTGTTATGTACATTCTTGACCCTTTTAAAGGGATGAGAGGGTGAAACAAACAAAAGCCTTTGATATGTGCAACAAAAAGCAACCGGTTTCCCAGTTTTCCATACTATTTTTATTGGGATATTTATAATAAGGAAAACTGGTCAAGAAGTGGACTGTTGGCTTTTTCCTTTCTGGAACCTTCTGATGTTAATTGAGGACTGGTTATCCCTCCACAGTGATCTGGCCCTTCGGAATTGCTTGCTAACCTCTGACCTCACAGTGAGAGTTGGAGACTACGGACTGTCCCACAACAATTATAAGGTATTGTGGATAACTTTTCTTTTACGAATTTGTAAGGAGGTGTATTGCAGATTTAGGAAAGCATTTTATTCAATCCTGGCCAGTAGAGACCGCCATATACAGTAATGCTTATAAGGACAGTCTACGGAACCAAAAATAGTTCGTAGCTATATAAGAAACACACAGAGTGCCATAAAATGGAAAATCTGAATTGGTAGCTTCCTTTGAACTGTCTTTCCGAGGAAGTTCCATTGATATTCTCAAGAAGTTCCTTTGGATCTTCCTTCAGGAAAGACCCTAAGTACCTCATTGTCTGTAACATACCTTTGCTAAAAAGAAGAACATGCTCTTACGCCTGTCTATACATGCTGGTCTTCTCACAATCCCTTGGGGACATTACACTGGCTATCTTTATATTATTAGCAAATCCTAATATATACGGTGGTATTTCAAAGTTGCATTAAGGGAGATCTCCACAGTATGGCATTGGGTAGTCCTTGTGGTGATTCTTGGAGGAACGCCATGGAGTGGGATTTTGTGTGCTTACACTGTATATAAAATCCCATTTTCTGCCAAGATGTTACACCTCCTGTAATTTATATTTCATTTTTTTAAATCTTGGCCTGTCCTCCATTTGTGTCACTTACTTCAGGTAATTCTGCTATAACATACTTTTTCAAGGTAGCAGCTCATTATGTCTGGTAGTCAGTCACAATGCCGTGTAACGACTGTACCAGAAAGAAAGATTATTTTTTTGTCGTGGCTGTGATTATAAGAAGTCTAAAACTTAATGAATGATCTGACAATGACATAACTCGTATTTTGGACCTCTTGTCGCATGCTCTAGTTCAAAGGTGGGAGAATTCTCCGGAGAATTCTCTTCTCTCTCAGTCTTCTCCCTCAGTTCTGGCACAAAAGTGTCAGCATGCTGGGGGGGGGTTGCCTATGTGTGTCTCCAATTCTATGTCTATAAGCCAAAATTGCTCAACCCTGGTTCAGATTTCTGCTCCGTGCGAAGATGATTAAATGGGCATTTTGGAGGGACTGAATCTGTTTCTGGTGCTAGGGTACCACTCCTCCTGAGGCTGGTTGTAGGCAACTGTCATTTTGATTCCCAGATGGTCCTTCCCAAACAATGCTATACCATGAAGTCATGGTGTAGCTTTGCTTGGGTAATGTCCTGTGGCAGTAGATGCTAGGAGTTGGGCTGCAGCAGTGCTTCCCCACATATTCCTCCTGAGCTCCATCTGTTAGAGGGCAGAGACCTGACTAGAGATGGGCATGAACTGGCGGTTTGTGCTGGTTTGTTTTTAGGTCAAACACATATTTATTGGTTCCCAGCCTCGCCTCCATCAGCAGACACCCACTCAGAGGTAGTGCCCTGGCTTCTCTGCCCTGCCTCCTCCAGGCACTGCCTCTGAATGGGTACCTGCTGGAGGAGGCAGGGCTGGGAAATGCTGAACACCTGTTCAGACAAAAAACAACCTGGCATGAGCTGCTGGTTCGGCTATTTGTGCCCATCTCAAAATGTGACCAATCCTTGGCCCAATGAAACAAATCCTTTGATATGTCTCGTGTCTATTGGCAGACGGGACTGTGTTACCTGTCAATGCCACTGCATTCTACACGTGTAGCAGAGGGAAGGAGCCTGTCTTTTTGCCCTTTGCAATATATTTTGGTGTGGTCCTGTTTGGAAAATTTTGTTTGAGAACTTGTTATACCAGGTCTGGAACTCTTTATGGAATACACCTGAGTTGTAAAATATTCTGTGGGAAGTATGGTCTGATTCATACTAAGCTGAAACATACCATTCAATAGCATTACAGTATTTAAGGGAATTGTTACAAACAATGGATAGTAATGGATACCTCAGTCTAGATGCAGGTGAGGAGAGCAGAGCCTTCTGACTGGTGTCAGAATAAAAGGATCCCATATGGGAATGTGTGCACCAAAGTTTGGGAAAGGGAACATCTGTATTCTAAGGATAGTTCTGGGAGTTCTGTGATTCATACTGTCATCTGCAAGCCATTGGGTTGTACACACAAATTCAGTTTTGTTCCAGTGTTGCTCTTCATTTCTGTTTTGTAGGAAGACTATTATATTACTCCAGACCGGCTCTGGATCCCTTTGCGTTGGGTTGCTCCAGAGTTGTTGGACGAGATGCATGGAAATCTCATCGTTGTGGATCAAACCAAGGAGAGCAATGTTTGGTGAGTCCTCAATGTCCCATCTGCCCTGCTGTCCCCTACCTCTTGCTTGAGGGAAATTCAGTTTGCTTTCCCACTCACACCTCTTTATAGTTGCACCATCCAACTGGGCTAATGCTGAAACAAATGTGTCTTTAAAGTTATCAGGAAAAAGCATATCCAACTGGTTATTTTGATTTCCCTGTGCACGATATTCCTGGTTATAGATGCTCTTTGGTTTAGGGATTTGATTTGTTGCAGATGGTGTATACAGTCTGGGATTTAGTAGTTTTCATGGGAGCACCTGAAAATGAGGAACATTTCTCCATTTCTTCCATCATTCCCAGGTTCACCTAATGTGACATGCAAACTTGGAAACATTACTTTTTTGGATGACATTTCACAGGATCCCTGATGTTGGCTGGAAGATTTCTGTACTTTTCATCTAAAAAAGTAACTTCTCTAAGCTGTGGCTATTTTTATGTTGTTGTTTTTCTGCCCACACCAAATGATGGCTTTTTCATTCACCCAGGTCTCTTACACAAATGTGTGTTTACAATCTGGGCTTCTTTAATTAGGATTCTTTTTAAAATTATTATTGTTGACTAGGATTCATATTTCTGTTGCTGATATTGATTGATTGATTCTATTTATATATTGCCTCACAGTGCTACAGCACTCTCTGGGTGGTTTACAAATAATTATGCAAAGCAAGCTGGGTAGTCATGTTACTGACTTTGGAAGGAAGACTGAGTGAACCTTGAGCTGGTTACCTAAGCCTGTCAGGATCAAACTCTGATCATGAGCAGAGGCTTGACAGCAGTACTGCAGTTTAACCACTGTATCACAGGGCTCACTGTTATTGCTATTGTTTTATTTCGGTCCTTGCAGAAAATAACAATTTTGATCTGGCATTTGCTGCATTCTTCTTTTAGTCAATATTTACTCTTTTTTACTTCTTTGTAAACAAATCAGAGAAAATGTTATTTAACAGCAGTGTATAGTAATAATAAATTAATAAATTTATTTCATTCAATTGCCAATATCCTCTTGGGGGACTCTGCTGGCATAGGGGGAATGATGTTCCTGGCAACAGTTGTTGTTGTTTAGTCATTAAGTCGTGTCCGACTCTTTGTGTCCACAGAGCACGCCAGGCTCTCCTGTCTTCCACTGCCTCCCAGAGCCTCATCAAAACAGTAGATGGCAACAGTAGATTGCCACTAATTTAAAAGTCAATTATTTTGATTTTCAGTTGCATGTGAATCACGTGCAATGAGAAAAAGTTGTGCACACCCTGAATTTGAAAAAGGAACTCTTCAATTAGTGGCAATCTGCTGCTGCTGCTGCCATTCTCACTGTGCTGGTGGAACTCTGCAAGGGGATACTGGCTAGTAATTATTGGTACTATTTAAAGGTAATTTTAAAAATATGCTGTTTAAGTATGCTGCTCCAAATCAATTTTTTTTAATTTGAAATTTTCATATGTCAAAATTTCACAAAGATTATGAATTAAAGCTTTCCCTTGAGTTCACCATTGGCCAAAAGGCCCTGTCTGCTACTGCAGACTTTACAGAACTAGCTACTATTAGTTACAGACTTTAGTACAGTGATGCCTTGCTAGACGATTACCTCGCAAAACGGTTTATTCGCAAGCCAATGAGTTTTTGTGATCGCTATAGCGCTTTGCAAAACAGTTTTCACTATGGGCAATTTTCGCTGGACGATGTTTTGGTCCGTGCTTTGCAAGACGGTTTTTTTTCAGGACCATTTTTTGCAAGACATCAGTTTTGACAGCTAGGTCAAAATCGCAAAACCGTTTTTTTAGGGACTGATTTTTACAAGACAGTGATTTTGACAGCTGGTCCGTGTTTCACAAAATGGTTTTCCCTATGGGCGATTTTCGCAAGATGACGACTATTTTCCCCATTGGAACGCATTAAATGGATTTCGATGCATTCCAATGGGGAACCGCATTTCGCAAGACGATGTTTTTGCAAAACAGCGATTTTCACGGAACAAATTAACATTGTCTTGCGAGGCATCACTGTAACAGTGCGCTTGAAAGATTTTGGAACTGCCTATTTGTTGTGGATATGTGTGTGTGTACACTGAGGAGGCTGCATTTGGTCATTGTATGGACTCTGAAGCATTTTTCCTTTTCTTCAAATATTTAAAAACTGACTTCTACTATTTGAAATGGATTCCTCGGCTGCCACACAATGGGAGCTCTTGATCAATCACTATTTTCAACGTTGTTTTGACTTTCTCATTTTATAGGGCTAAATGATAAAAGGCCACCCAGGGTTTAGCCAGAGTCCCTGAATACCATTGACCGGAGCCCAATGGAATCTTACTTTTCTTGGTGTTGTGATCTCATGCTGTGTTTTCTTGTTAGGTCTATGGGGGTGACCATCTGGGAGCTTTTTGAGTTTGGCTCCCAGCCTTACCGACACCTTTCCGATGAGGAGGTGCTCACCTTTGTCATCAAGGAGCAGCAGATGAAACTGGCCAAGCCACGCCTTAAACTTCCTTACTCTGACTATTGGTGAGTCCTTCCCTACACATAGCAACCCATCTGTGTAGTCCTGAGAGAGCTAAGATCTCTTAGTCGGCACATTTTCATAGCCTGGGGAAAAAAAATACTTGTCAGCCTCTGGATGTTTTTCTTATTGGTCTCTCCCATCCTAAATCAATATATATTGTTATCTTCTGAGTAGCCTGTGGTTTGGGGTTCTTACCTAGGCATGAAGGTGGTTGTTGGCATTCCTGATTCTCCTAATGTTCTTCCATTCTTCCCTCTCTGTGTTCCTCCAACTGTTCACCCATTTCTCTCCCTATTCTGTCATTGCGGCAGGTCTTCTTCTAGCTGTGGCATCTCTTTGCATCTTTTCATCTTTCTGTATCTCTTCAGCTATACAGATGCTTTCCAAATTATTTTTCCTCTTAACCTACCTATTTTCCTGCTATCTTCTGCAAATTAACTCTCATTCCTACTCAGATGCTTCAGTTTTTGTCTTTTCGACCACCTTTTCAGCAGCTGTTTCAAGCGTTTCCCCCTTTCTGTTGTGGAATTCCTTTTGGATGCTTTTAATATCCTTTTTCAGGCATAGCTAGGTATAACACAAGCCCAAGATAGTTGAGGGACCAGTGCCTCCCCAGGAATTATAGCCCTATAACACTGCTTGGAACCAAACTACTGTTCCCAGGATGCTTTAGGAGAAGCCATGACAATTAAACAAGTATGAAACAGTCAGGTACATAGCTGAAATGGAGACCAGCCTTTTTAAAAATGAGTCTTTGAAGCTTTGCTTTTAAATTACATTCTTGTTTTTTTAGCAGTGTTTCTGAGGATTGTTCCTGTAACTTTCCATAAAGTAGAAAGTGAATTAGAAAAAATATTCAGAAACAGAAAGCAATATATGAAGTTAATCTGCTTTGCTGACAGCCATCATCATCATTATCATCATAGTCACTATTACCATAAGCATAATCCCTTTCACCATTAACAGTTTTAAAGCATTGGCTTTCTGATAAATTAATTAATTACAGCTCAACGTTTATAATGAAAAACAACAATGGGGATAATTTCATGGAAATATTCCTTTCCTGCTAAAAACAGGCTGGCCCCACCAGATGTTGATTCTTGCAAAAGGGCAGCTAATGCTAGTTATTTACCTTGTTATTTTTATGTTTTTACTTCAAAGGAAGGAGTAGAGGCACTTGTGGCTCTTTCTGAGCATCTGCAATGTTAGTATAATTTTCAAAATGGAATTCAGCACTTACTACATTTTAACAGTAATTACTGTACTTTGTTGCTGATTACTTGAAGAATATCTTGCAGAATCACTTGTGACTAGAGATGGGCAGGAATTAAAAAACTAACCATCAAATTCATTCAAAATCACTAATTCATCAGTTTGCATTTGTACAAATCAATGCCCCCCCAAATACAAATCAACGAAATGTTTAATGATTTTTGATTTGTCAATTTGTTGGCTATAAAAAGTCCTCCATGGGACCTAGAAACATCAAAATGGCAGAGAAGCTTCTTCTGACTCTTCTCTACAATCCCCTCAGGCTTGGTGAAGATTGGGTTTGACCAAGCCAACTGCTAAAGGATAGTTTCCTGGGGGACCCTTCTCGTGGATATATAACTCGGATGTCCGAAATCCAAACTTCACCAAACTGGCAGTGCTTATAGAGGAGAGTCAGGGGAAGCTCCCTTGTGAATTTGGTGTCTCTAAGTGCTAGGGGGGCATTTTAAAGGGTTTTAAAGAAAATTATTGTAAGAAAAAACAGTCAGTTTATAATTCATGATTCATCAAACTTGATTACTACAAATTAAAACAAATCACAATTTTTCTGACTTGTGTCCATCTCTATTAGTGACTTGCCTTTCAGAATTTTTTCCCTAATTTTTGAAAATTACACTTAAAATGCAAAGATGGCCAAAAATGCTAAAATTTGCCAAAATGATAATACCCCCCCCCATGTTTTAGGAGTAACAAACTGGCCATCCACATAATGCCATGGTGGTGTTCACCATGTTACTTTTCAAAAGTAGCACTGATTTTCTGGTTCATCTCAGGAAGCAAAATGTTTTGAGATGTCTCTGGCCCAGCAGGGCTTCTCTTTGCAAGAAAATCTATCTTGTGGTCTGTGTCTTTTTTTTGCTCATTCCTCCATTGTACACATTTTCTTTGGTTAGTGACTTTAATGTAGTGCCTAGGAGCCACATTAGCTCTCTTTTCTCCAGGGCTATGTTTTGCACCATTTTTAAACTTAAGGAGAAAAAATGATTGGTTCATTGTTGGTTTTCCATCCTAAAAAACAGCATTTTGAGGTTGCATGGTCCTTGTTAGTCCATTCAAAGAAAATGCAAAAATAATAAAGGCAAGCAACAGCAAACCTACTCTATGTGACTTTGCCATTTCAGGAAGATTTCTCTTTCTTTCAATTTCTGTTTTGAAGTGTATTTGCTCTTTGTTTCTATTGCTGCAATACACCTCTCTGGGGAATGCTAAAAGAGAACCAAATTAAAACTCATAACTCAAGCTTAAACTGAAGAAAGTAGGAAAAACCACTGGGCTAGTCAGGTATAATCTAAACCAAATCCCTTATGAATACACAGTGGAAGTGACGAACAGATTTAAGGAACTAGATTTGGTGGACAGAGTGCCTGAAGAACTATGGATGGAGGCTCGTAACATTGTACAGGAGGCAGCAACAAAAACCATCCCAAAGAAAAGGAAATGCAAGAAACCAAACTGGTTGTCCAATGAGGCCTTACAAATAGCAGAGAAGAGAAGGGAAACAAAATGCAACGGAGATAGGGAAAGTTACAGAAAATGGAATGCAGGCTTCCAAAGAATAGCAAGGAGAGACAAGAGGGCCTTCTTAAATGAACAGTGCAAAGAAATAGAGGAAAATAATAGAAAGGGAAAAACCAGAGACCTGTTCAAGAAAATTGGAGATATTAAAGGAACCTTTTGTGCAAAGATGGACATAATAAAAGACAAAAATAGTAGGGACCTCACAGAAGTATAAGATATCAAGAAGAGGTACACAAGAATACACAGAAGACTTATACCAGAAAGATCTGGATGTCCGAGACAACCCAGATAGTCTGGTTGCTGACCTTGAGCCAGACATCCTGGAAAGTGAAGTCAAGTGGGCCTTAGAAAGCACGGCTAACAACAAGACCAATGGAGGTGATGGCATTCCAGTTGTAAAATCTTAAAAGATGATGCTGTTAAGGTACATTCAATATGCCTGGGAGTTCAGAAAAATCAGCAGTGGCCAGAGGATTGGAAAAGATCAGTCTACATCCCAATCCCAAAGAAGGGCAATGCCAAAGAATGCTCCAGCTACCGTACAATTGCACTCATTTCACACGCGAGCAAGGTTATGCTCAAAATCCTAGAAGGTAGGCTTCAGCAGTATGTGGACTGAGAACTCCCAGAAGTACAAGCTGGATTTTGAAGGGACAGAGGAACTCGAGACCAAATTGCTAACATGCGCTGGGTTATGGAGAAACCCAGAGAATTCCAGAAAAACATCTACTTCTGCTTCATTGACTACGAAAAAGCCTTGAATGTGTTGACCACAACAAACTATGGCAAGTTCTTAAAGAGGTGGGAGTGCCTCAGCACCTTATCTATCTCCTGAGAAATCTATATGTGGGACAGGAAGCAACAGATAGAACTGGATATGGAACAACTGATTGATTCAAAATTGAGAAAGGAGTACGACAAGGCTGTATATTGTCTCCCTGCTTATTTAACTTATATGCAGAATACATCATGCGAAAGGCAGGACTGGATGAATCCCAAGCCAGAATTAAGATTGCCGGAAAAAATTTCAACAACCTCCGATATGCAGATGATACCACTCTGATGACAGAAAGTGAGGAGGAATTAAAGAACCTTTTGGAAGACAGGAGGGCCTGGCATGCTCTGGTCTATGGGGTCATGAAGAGTCGGACACAACTAAATGACTAAAAAAAAAAAAAGATAACCAAAAAATCCTGTGGTACCTTGAAGGCTACACAGTTTTATTTGGTAGAAACTAGTCTATGCAAGCTCACGCCAAATAAACCTGGTTAGTCTTTAAGGTCCCACAAGACACTTAGTTGCTTTTGATTCAGCCAAGGTGTGTGGCTATCCCTTCAGCCCATCCAATCCTCAATTTAAAAAGTTGATTTTTGTCTGTGCTTTTGAAATGTTTGTGCAATGTTCTGTAGCTCTCCAGTTATGCTTTTTTGTTGCTGTCTGAAGGAAGTGGTAAAGCACATCTGTTGCACACAGAAAACCTCCAAGACTGATCTCCACAATCTCTAGGTAGAGCTGCGGAAAGTCCCCCGTCTGAGACTCTGGAGAGCTGTGGCCCACCAGTTTAAACAGTACTGAGCTAAGTAGATTAATGGTTTGACTTAGTATGAAGCAGCTTGCTATGTTATTACAGGACAGCATGTCATTATATGACAAGCAAGGCCCTCTAGATTGTGGTTGGACTGCAACTCCCATCAGCCAGAATCAGCCTAGCCAATGCTGAGGAATCATGGGAGTTGAAGTTTGTCAAATCCTGCAGTACCACAAGTTGCTCAGCCTTCTATAACAACAATTTCCCTATGCTTCCGACTGATTGCATTATGCTGCCCTCCACCTGTTTCGCCCTTCTGACGTTGCAGCCATTCTTACTTTATCCTGCCAAATTCCTTTTTTCAAAGAATTCATTTTTTTATTCTTTTCTCCACCAAAGCTTCCAAGTAGCTTTCCGACTGTTCTACTTAACTTCTTTCCCTCCTAACAGTTTTCCCCTCAGTGGTTCCTGTTGTTGTCGTACACAGGTCGCCTCTGTCCTGCTTTTCTTTTTTTCTATACCGCCAGTTCCTTAAGTGATCAGCAGTATATTTCAAACGGTACTTGTGTTCCCACCGTTCTTCTTTTTCGGCAGTTCTCTTCTGACCTTTTGTTTATTTGTTTGTTTAAGTCCCCATTCTGTATTCCCCCCCCCCAACTTCCAAAACTGTTCTTTCAGGCTATATCCCAAAC